GGTGTAGTCAAGTAGGTCAGCTTTTTTTAATTTCAATATATATCTAACGAATTTAATGAATATAATTGTTTTATAGACCAACTCTTGGTAATACGATGAATAAATGTCGTGCACTAGCTGCAGCACATTTCATTTTTGGCGTTATATATGCTGCAGGTACAATGCTTGTCGACCCTGATACCTCTGGTCCTCTTGTATTTCTAGTCATTTTTCCATTAGCTTTTACAATGACCGCATTTTATATATGGACACTTCAATCAATTACAACTACTCTTCAAACTCTTGAAATTCGTAGACAGTGGGTTAAATCTTTAATGTACAAACGACTTTATAGGCTTTTAGTTTTTTCAGTCAGTGTTCTAGGTATTTTCTTTTTCATAAATACGTTTAATTATCTCCATAGAGGAGATAGTGATTGGATACCGAAATACTGGCAATGGAAATGGTTTTTATTGGACGGATGGTTGAATATTCTATATTTGATTGTATTCTCCGTAATACTCATTATTTGGAGACCTACCCATAATAATAAGAGATATCCTTTTGATTGGCAAAAATTACTTTATTTTAATTATACGTATATTTAAATTTCATTTTCCTTAATTTTATTTTACATTTGCGATGAGCGAAGAGTTAGCGCAGGATGACGACGATGATTTGGAGAATAACAGTCATGCATTGGAAAGTCTTGGCTACGAACAGATAAAATATAGAAATCCCACACGAGATCATAGCGAGACTGAAAGATTGCACGGTAATGGGACTGCAATATTTGATATTGGGGATGAACACGATGGTGAATGGGACGATGATGAAGAATCAACTTTAAGGGCAAGTAGAAGAGATAGTTCTGGAAGTCATGAGTCACCACCTAGGTATTATATTTATTTTAAGATGAGGTTTGTTTTTATTACCAATATGTATGTTGATTAAAGAAATAAAACTATATTTTCATTATAGGCGTGACGAAGAAATAACTCATGCTGATCAAGAAATTTCAAAATTAAATTAATTATTGGAGTATATATTTTAATGGACTAAATACTAAAAATTATTAATAACTTATATTGAAAAAAAAAACATTTTTAAAGAATTTATATTATTGATTAGATTACATTAGTTAATCTTTTGCATGTGATATTGTAATTGGGATTTCAATATTAAAAATTAGAAAAAATTCAATATTAAAATGATTTTGATGATTCATCAATTGTAATTGTGTAATATTTTAGTTATATACTGTAATATGTAAGACTGTCTCCCTGGTTTGTTTGGAATGAAATGGACGTTATATTTCTATGAAAATGGCATCAAAATGTCACATTCACGTGACTTACCGCCCTTAAGCTGCTTTTTAGGCAAACGTGCCTGGAATGATATGGACATACTCGCTAGCAAAACCTCTTGAATTTGGGATTTATTATAAATAGATAACATTGTAATGTTTTTACTAGTTTTTTAAGAATTACCTCAAAATGTAACGGTAACTGGTGCTTTATAAAAATTATAGAAAATACTTTGGTTGCACTCAGTTATAATTTCCCAAAGATTTTATTGCAAATGGTATATAGTTTCAAAAATTAAATATATCGATATAATTCTATTAAAATATTTTATTCAATGGATCTTTGTTAATTGAATAAAAAGCTCACACTCATACTATGCATATATATAATAGATAATAATATAGTACAGATTTGATCAAACATACATGACAAAAAAAGAAAAAAAAACAAGAAAATATCACAGAATGAGGATCACTTAATTCAGATAACTACTTAAATGGCTATTACATAAAGTACAGTTCAACAGCACCAGTAACAGCTTCCAGAGTCACACTGGATTTACTACGTTTATTCTTCTTATCCTTCTTATCATCATCGTCATCATCATCATCATCATCATCGTCGTCATCATGATGGTTATCCTTACCCTTGAACCCAACTTTAATGTTTCGCAAATTTTTACGATAGGTGAGATCTTTGCCTTCAACATAAGCGTAGCCAACTAAAGTAGTGACGGTAAAGTTTCCAGCATACGAGTCGGACTAAGAATTTTATATCAAAATTTTAGTGATCAGAGACATGATTAGCCTAATTGACCGCCCCTGTATTAGGGATAAAAAAATATACGCACCACAGTAGCAACGATACCACCGTTAACTGAGCCAGCTTTAAGGGTAAGATCTTGATTTTCAGTCAAATCTTCCTACACGTACAATTAAGAAATATAGTTAACAGAATGTCATTTTCTAATAAATTTTCGCCAGATAATATAGACATGCAGAACATACCACATTAATATTCAAATGGCCATTGATAGATTTAGCGCTAACAGAAATATCTTCAGACCAAGAATTTGCAATAGCGTTTACAGTAATTGCTCCATTGATAGTGCGAACCTTAATGTAAGTAACGAAGATCATGCAATATTGAAAAGCTGATTAACCAACAAGAAAGTGAATATATTTAACACTTCATATTATATTAATGCATACTTACCTCTAAGCTTTCAGCAACAATGTAGGATCCTTTGACATGTCCATTGACAGTAGAAATTTCGGCAATGGCGAAATTAATGTCCTAGTTAAAAGAATATGTCATTAATAACTTCAATATTACTATTAATAATTAAGAAAATACTTACATCAGCTTTAATGTGACCATTTCTAGTTTTAAGGCCGACATACGCAAAGTCAATATTTCCCAAACCTTCAGTAACTATTTGGCTGCTTGGTACATCGACTAATATAGATCTGAAGAAATTAATTTGAGCGGGAAGCGTAATTGTAGTAACGATAGAGACGCATTTTTGAGTGGAATGGGGACCCTCGAATGGTGGAGTCTAAAGAATGTAAAACTTATGGTGTTGGCATAAGCATCGCAAAATATAATCAAAAAGTATCTACATCGTCACAAATTACCTCAATAGTAATAGAACAGTCATCATCAATAATATCAATTTTGACATCAACTTCGCTCTGAAGACTTTTATCAGACAAATAAATATCATTTGTAACATTGATATAATCCTTCAAGGATGGATCTTGACGAATTATGACACTTCCGAGCTGCATTTTAGAGTCAAAAAGTTAATATAATTATTAAAAAAGATAAATTGCATTAATTTTGACTGTTTTATTACCGATGACATTCCCTTAATAGAAAATATCAATCCAGAAACCTCTTGTGGATCAATCAATATTTCAGCTGGACCATTCCATCTGTAAATAGGATCACAGGATGGTTCCTTAGGAATAGGCGGCACAGGCAAATCAATTTTAGAAATAAAAAGAGGTGTTCCAATATCAGTGTCGGTATGTCTGTGATCGGGGTTATAATTATTTAATTCCTACAAAATTATTATCAATACAAAACCTTGTTAACGATGATTGATTTCATGCAAATAAAACCGTTCATGGTTGAAATTACATACATTAAACATAAAGTATGAAAGGCCAATAAATAAGAAGCGACCGGCTAAGAAAAATAGCAATGTAAAGATCAAGACTCTCCTCCAAATTCTTTTTCTCTGACAGTTTTGGTGACAGCATCTTTGTGGTGTGGTGCCAACCAACACATGAGAGAATTCTTTACTGTAAGCCGGCAATTTCTGGTCTTCGTGATTTTCATTATATAAATTTATTGAGGAATATGTAATTACGAATTAAAATATAACGACATTCTATGCAATGTTACCTTGAGCAGGCTCCTCAAGCGGAACAGCAATATAACCAGTTTTATTGGACATTATACGTTCGTTAAAAAAATATATTTATGAAACTAACGTTTACAAAAAAATGAACAAAAACCGGAAGGCGGAAGTGTTCAAAAGTTCTTCTCTGAATTTATTAATTTTGTAATAAACCCCTTTTCCTTAATTGGAAAATGTGGCTAAATGAATTATTGTATCTCGTGACCGTTATTGTTATTACACGAAAGATTTGTCAGTTAGTAATCGTATCGGTATTATATTATCTCGCACGAAAGATTTATCTATCCTTTATGGACTATCAATCAGATCATTTATCTTCACGGATTAAAACAAAGGTTTGAAAAAAATGTATGCGATAAAATTATTTTTCAAAAATTTCTTTTATGAAAATGTCTTTAGCATATCAATGTGCGTTGATAGTTAAAAAGCTAATTAGCGATGGTTCTTTGGGTCACCAAAATTTACTATCTTTATTAAAAGATACTATAATTGTAGTAATTTGTTACCCATGACGTATACGTAGAAACTCTGATACATAATAACAAATTTTTCCATACAGTTTAGAGGTGCAGACATATTGTCGTAATTAGTTACGACCTATTTTAAAACAGATTATTTTTATTGAGGTAATTAGGTTA